TTAGTTACGTGTTGGTGGTATCAGTATGAAGAGATTAGAATCCGAATGCTGTTCGCTAATTAGTTAGTAATCACCTTTCGCTTTTTTAGTTATTCATTCTCTTTGTCTCTTCCTTTATAAAATTTCCTCAAATATATACATTATATATTTGAATATTTGAGAAAAATTGTCTATAAGTTCACGTAGCAAAATATTTGCATGGGGATTGGAGTCGAATAACAAGGGTTGCTAATGAACCTTGTACTGACTTGCTGTTGAGATTAAAGTTACTTTAATTTTAGTTTGAAGATCTAGGCTGGAGACTAGGAGGACTTTGTCTTTGTAACTAGCATCAATAACATACTGGAAAATTTCCACGGACGATAAGTGTAATTTGGCACTATAAAATTAGGCTGGAGACTAGCATATATAAATAGCATCAATAACATGCATATAGGTACATTTGGATCTTAGAGCACAGGGAACAAAAAATCTCTTGGACCGCGCGATATCTATATATATTATATAGTGCCAAATTACACTTACCGTCCCAGGTAATTTTTGTTTACTTATTAACTTGCATTAGAAGATTAAGAAATTTACAAATGCAGTTTATAGTTTGTTTTTCTGAGATGATAATTAAGACCATCTCTTATGGTAAGCACCTCTAATTTTTTAGTGCTTACCAATTTTTTTTTTTTTGTTTTTTTGTTACTTTTGTGTTTAAGAACTCCTATATTTTGCATCCTCCAATTGAAGGTATTTAAAGTGAACTACTTAAAAAAAAATTAAAATATTTGAAGCATTATTATCTTATAAATTACAATTATTTTATTGATTTTAATTTCAAACATACATTACAGTAAGAGAAAGCATATAAAACATGGGTTTGAGAAAGTACGAGTCAAAAGAAAATAGAGAGAGAGAGTTCAATTGAGGGGAAAATATAAAAATGAAAATGTTTCAACCAACCAGAAGTTGCTATAACAGGATTGCTTAGAGTCTCTAAAAATGCTTAGGGAAGCATCGATGCTTAAGATTTAAACTATTAAATCTTTATTTTTTGTGCAATATTTAGCTAAGCATCCCTTAAGGACGTTTCATTGGAGATACTCTATGAGACTGGCAAGGTAGTTGAATGAACATTACCGTGGTTATTTTGCTATCTCTCCTTTAATTTTTCCATTAAATCATACATCTCACATGTTGTTGAGATGTTCCATTTCCAAGTTAAAGCACATGTCTTTTTTTTTTTTTTGGTTTAAACAATGACGTTTCTCTCGATTTCGTCTTGGATCTTGCAAAACAGAACTCCAGTAAGAGTTTTATTATCTACACATGCAAAACTCTTTCTCCAAGTACATATATATATATATATATTTTGGAAAGAGTGTAATGCAATAATGTGTGCTATGTCCACGTCTATCAAACCTAACATCACCGTATATCATGCAGAATTGTTTTTATTTCGTTCACATCCAAAGATCCAATAGTTTCTCTATTTCTACTTCCGAATTTATTTTGATTATTTTTTCGCATCGATCTCTTATAACTATCAAATAGTGTTCAAGTTTTATAAATTTTCTACGAGAGCCAATGTGCTAGTTAGTATGTCATTTTTTTTCATTTTTTCATCATGATGTAAAAGTTATATTAAAACAAAACAGAAAATTACATTATGCCTAACCGAACCGTTTGATCTAAAAAGAATATACGATACTTGCTTGATACACAAGAAGGTAATTTGGGTACACAAAATATCTACAAATGCTTTAAAAGATTTGTTTTATTATGTCACTGAAATTGATTTTTGTTTTGTTTTAACCTCTAAACGAATTGAGAAAAAGACAAGTCGTAAAAACCATAGAATATTTGCTAAGTAAAAACCAAGTATTTTTTAAAAACCTCTCAGCCCAAAACAAAACAACAGAGATAAACTCCAAGAATCAACCAAATATCAACACGTGTCACCTCCACAGACTTCAAACTCCATTGTCTCTGTGTGTTCTGTTGCTATATAATAGACTCAAAACTCTTCTCCTCTCTGAACACATTGTCTCTCTCTTTCTTCATCTCCATTAAAACAATGCGCATTGTCAGTGGCATTCTTGTGATTTACATAATCTCCAGTATTCTTTTCGGTCATTTAATCTGCGTGGCACGAGGAAGATATCATTACCACAAGAGACGTGGTCTCTCCAATCCTCCTCCACCTCCTCCTCCAGTTCTAACCGCTGATCCACCTCAAGTCCCGTCCGACCCATACCCGAGCCCAAACCCGAATCCAGACCCGGCTCCTGGAGACTCCAATACGGGATGCGTCTTCGACGTGACGTCGTTTGGTGCAGTGGGTGATGGGTCATGCGATGATACGGCAGCATTTCGAGCTGCGTGGAAAGCCGCTTGTGCTGTTGAATCCGGTGTCGTTTTGGCACCTGAAGGCGGCGTTTTTAAAATCACTTCCACTATTTTCTCCGGTCCATGTAAACCGGGTCTCGTATTTCAGGTGAACTAAACACACAAAACCAAATTAAAACTTTTTTTTTTCTTTTAACAAACAAAACAAATATTTGATCCCTTTTATTTTTATTGGACATCTGGACCCCATAATATGAGCCGCCTCTGAACAAAACTCATCAACAATAACCACAAAAATCCATCAATTTTTTTTTTTAAATCACAATAACGTGAAAAAGAAAAGTTTTAATAATTTTTTTTATTTGGATTGGCTTGTGAAGCTGGACGGAGTGTTGATGCCACCGGATGGACCAGAGGAATGGCCAGAAAAAGACAGTAAAACTCAATGGTTAGTTTTTTACCGTCTAGACGGTGTCACGTTTGCCGGAAAAGGCACTGTCGAAGGCAACGGTCAAAAATGGTGGGACTTACCTTGCAAGCCCCATCGGGTAAAACTTCTTTTTTTTTTGTAATAAATTACGGGATCACAACTATTTTCACAATTTATATATAGAGATTTGCTTAATTATAACTTCTTCATCAATGATATAATTTAAGATTGTGACAAAATGGACCAAAAAAATCGTACTATTATTCCTCTACTGATGATTTTACTTATATAAAAAAGAAATAAATTAATATTTTGTATGTATTTTTTTTTTTCAGGGACCAGAAGGATCAACATCATTCGGACCATGTGTTAGTCCAACTGTAAGTCTAATTAACTCCGAACCAAATTGTTAAATTAAGATCGGTTTAACTTATCTGCTTTATTAATTACTTTTTCTTTTGTTTTAATTTGTAGATGATTAGGTTCTTTATGAGCAATAATATAGAGGTTAAAGGATTGAGAATCCAAAACAGTCCACAATTTCACATGAAATTCGACGGATGTGAAGGAGTTTTAATCAACGATATCCAAATTTCCTCTCCAAAACTAAGTCCCAACACCGATGGTATCCATCTCGGAAACACAAGATCTGTTGGCATTTACAATTCTCTCGTTAGCAACGGTACAATTTGTTTTGTTTTTTTTTTTAAATTTATTTGACTGAATATAATCGACAAAAATTTCTATAATAGTGATGATCAATAATGTATTTTAAAATGATTACGAATATTATTAATCGGGAATGTAAACTGAAAACAGGGGACGACTGCATTTCTATTGGAACTGGTTGCTCAGATATTGACATTCAAGGTGTCACTTGTGGGCCCAGTCACGGGATCAGGTTTCTCTCTTTTAATCCTTTTTTTTAGATAAAAAATCACCATTTACCGTTAATTTATTATTATTTTTTTGGACAAAAAACGTTAAAATTATTTTAATTTACATGAATCTCTCGAATTGATTCCATTTACAATGTCTAATTTCACATGGATCACGATTTATACCTGATTGTTTCACTGAAAAAATCGAACTTTGAAACTAGTTGATAAAGAAAAATATCGAAGGTTAAAAAAAAAAAAAGAAAGAAAAATATCGAACTTTGGGGCTAGAATTTCATATTTTAGATCAAGAAAAAAGAAAAAAACTAGATGTTGTCTCAGATCACGATTCATATTCTAAAATCATTTTCGAATTTTATATAAATATATTTATACAAATTGTAATTAAACACCAGTTTTTCTGATTTGGCTGCTGTCAGAATAATATAACGTTGTCGGCTATTATATCACGAGTATGAATGGCGATTTGGTCTAAAATTGCGTTAAACTCTGAAATTTGAAGTTCATCAACTATTAAATTTCTACACGCGATTTGATTCTAACCGCTAAAATCTCTTTTATTTTTCAAACGCAGCATCGGGAGCTTAGGCGTGCACAATTCTCAAGCCTGCGTATCCAACATAACCGTTCGAAACACCGCGATTCGCGATTCCGATAACGGCCTCCGAATCAAAACATGGCAAGGAGGCACCGGATCCGTCTCGAACCTTCTCTTCGAGAATATTCAGATGGAGAACGTACTAAACTGCATCATCGTCGACCAATACTACTGCCAATCCAAGGATTGCCGCAACGAGACGTCGGCAGTTCGAGTTTTCGACATCGAGTACCGTAACATCAAAGGGACTTACGACGTTAGGAGCCCTCCGATTCACTTCGCATGTAGCGACACTGTCGCTTGCACGAACATCACCATGTCGGAGGTCGAGCTTTTGCCGGAGGAAGGAGAGCTCGTCGACGATCCATTTTGCTGGAACGCTTATGGGACTCAAGAGACGCTCACGATTCCTCCGATTGATTGTTTGCTCGATGGATCTCCGGTGGTGGAAGAAGCGTATGATTCGAATCTCGGCTGCTGATGGATGGTTGTTAATGTGCCACATAGATGGATAAGGTTTTTAGTTGTATATGGGCCATCCCTTGTAGGGCCTTTTAGTGAAAAGCCTTATATGTGTGATGAGATTTATAAAGAAAATAGATAATGCTGTTTCAATGTGCTTATTATTTTTGATGTGCTGTAACAACGACTGCCCAAGACCAACAACAAGTGGCTAACGTTCCTGTGCCCAAGACCTGGTTTTCTATGATATGCAAATGCAATCAAAAGGAAAAGAAGAACTTTAACATATCAATTTGAAACTCTTTGAGTTGAAACAAATGACCAAACAAACTGCCAACATACAAGGAAATGTAAAACTGGGAATTTCACAACAGAAAAAAACACACTCAGTATGTGACAACAAAGGGAATTTCCGATCAAAATATTCAAAACGCAACAACTCTTTCATGTCAAATACGAAATAACCAAAATGCAACCACTAACCGCAAACCTCAGCGATTCCCTTTTTTTGGCGTTTGACCAAACCGCGGATTCTCAAGTCACCAGTCAAGACTCATCTATACAAACCGAAACCTCTCCTCATACCACATTTTGGCATTATAATGATGAAGCAGGAGTATAATGCAAGGATTAACTTAAAGACTTTGAAGGATGATTAAAGAAGGAAGCAGATAATAAACCAAACCAGGGGTTTACTTCTGAAGTGACTTGGGGTCCAGAGAAATGGTGCCAATTGCTAAGGTTGCAGGAGACCCTGTAACTTTTATGGGCACTGATCCTACTTTAACAATGTCTTTGTCATCGGAAAGACAAGCATCAGCCGCTTCAGAAGGCTCTGTCTTCTGGTCAGAGACAGAGGGGGCCGGTTTAGACTTGGTTGGCCTCTGGTTAAGGTGAGAACCAGAGGGTGGGTCAGAGTCTGTACCAGTCGGGTTAATGGTAAGAGACCTGATCTTCTCCTGAGTGAGACTAGTATCTTCTTCAGAAACTTCCTTTACGATGGTCTCCTCATTCCCATCCGACTTTGAAGAAACCTCCTCGGTTTCTGTAGAAGTTACTGAAGGTATCTTATAGGCTTCCATGGATGTTTTCTTGTTTCTAGCAGAGAAATCTGGTCTCGGTAATGGTAAAGGGCTTAGGAAGGTTCTGTACGGCAGTCTGTTTCTCTCATCCTGCATGACTCTCTGCCGGTTTTCGTAGTACACAAAATCATCTAGCAACGAAGTCCTTTCCGCATGATCTTTGAATATTTTTAGCACTTCCAGTCCTTGTTTCAGCATTACCTGCACAAGGAAATGATAGATTAGCAAATTCTGCGAGTTTGTGAACCTTCAAAAGCGAGAGCTAATAGGAATATTCACCTCTTGTGTGTCTCGACTGTTGGTGACTGGCTTATTCTCATTGTTCTGTAATATGATGTGCCTGAAATAGCTGTTGGGAACATCTTTAATGATGTGCCATTTGACTGGAAAGCTTCCACTCCATTTGTCTTGCTGCCAAAAATCCATGTCTTTGTCAAAAGAAACTGGACCGGTCATCTCAGCCATGCCACAGAACAAACCACTGGCATTGACCTAAACAGAGAAGTAATACACATCAGAATAAGCCCACAGTGTTAACAAAAACAAGCTTAGCACAAGTAAGACAAGAGAAGGAAATACTCACGGAAAAGAATAAGAATATCGGGCATTCACAAGACTTCTCAGTGGCTATTCTCTGAGCATCTTCGTATGCACTCTGCAATTTCTTGTTCCCGTGCAAAGTTGATGACCAGACATTGTACTTGATGCTCTTGTGAACATCATCTTCACTATACGATTTAATCACAAAAAACTTGGCGTTGCTGTGATCGATTCGGAGATCTTCTTTATTATACTGACTAGGATCGATCACAATATTTCCTTCAGCATCAGCGTTTCCAGCTTTTGTTGTATAAGCTTTAACAATTAGTTGGTTTCTCGATACTTTCGATCTTGGACGTCGATTCTGCTCACTGGCTCTATCTGGATTTATATTTCCATGGGCAACATACATATTGGGCCGAAGATTGTTATTGTTTGTTGCAATGGACAAAAAACCATAACGTTCAGGTGGAGCAATGTCTGAATGTCCAGAAGACGATACTCTGCTACTGGAAACAACATCAACTGGTTGAGCGCTAACAGAAGCAGCTGTTCCCTGCAAAAGATGATTACACAAGTCCAGAGTCAAAATCACAATAAAGTCATCAACAAACCACTCCAAGAACTACACAAGCAATCATATCAATATCTGCTATTTCGCTATATTCTTTCTAATTCATTGACTTCCTCTTGTCAATCTCGAAAATACTGTATAACAAAGAATTATTCATATGAAAAAAATTACCTGGAGAGTAGGAAATCCCGTAGAAGCACTCTTTTCCGATCCTAGTTGTCTGTTTTGTCCAGGGTTAGGCCTTCGCTTCTCTGAAGACCTGCTCACAGAATTTGCTACAGAGAGTTTTGGAGCATTCCTTTGGAGTCCACCATTTGCTGAAGCATTTCTATGCCCTGATCCTCTCCCGTCAGATCGACCCCTATTAGCTGAACCAGTCTCTACCAAAGAGTTTGTTGAGCTGTTCGAGACGACATCAGGGTGAATTGCATACGGAACAAACGCAGGTGACGACGCGACATTCTGGTAAGGAGGAATAGAGTAGAACTGTTGGGAACCAGCAAAAGTAGAATCAACGCCCATTGAAGCGCCAGGTATGTAAGGATTGAATGGATTGTAAGGAGACTGTGCATATCCATAACTAGGCGTATAGCATATATAAGGAGAATTTTCATTTTGCCCACCCTGCATAACACAACAACATCAGCAAAAAAACATAGAGACTCAACATATATGAAAAATGTATCAGAACAAACTCAACAAGTAATGAGAAGTCGATATATCAGAGATTGGTACCGTGTATTGAACTTCGGAACCATCTACACCAAAAAACATCTGATGGTTCTCCCATTCACCGGGGGACTCATAACCTGAAGAAAATTCAGAATATTAGTTAATTAGAACGCCTTGTGGCCGAAGAGGATAACTGATACCACACCATTAAACAAAACCAGCTTATTACCTGTACAATAATAGCCATAACTGGCATCAACGGGGTAATACATGCCCTGGTCAACAACAAAATCAGGGGCTCCCTCGGATGTATACATTGCTTTAACTTATCAAAGAAGACGTTTGTCTCAAATAGAGTTTTGGATTAACACCTGAAGATAACAAAAAACAAAAGCTTTGTTACCATAAACTAAAGCAAATGGATTCATCACTTAAATGCACGACAACAAAATAGCACAAATTTAGAGATTCTTTTGCAATGCAAAACTAAAACTGTTTACTGAATCGAAAATTAGATGGGCGGGAAACGAGAAATAGCCCTAAATCCAAAGGAAGGAAGCGGCATAAGACCATGAAAATCAGATGGACGGAAACCTAACCCTAGAAAACATGAAGCTTAGGTTATATCAAATCCTAAAAGAGAGGAAACATGAAACTTAAGATGAATCAAGTTGCGGATTAATAGAAACGAAACAAAACCGTAGAGAAACAGTAAGCAGAAATTATATTGATCAGGTTTACCAGAAATTTGGAAGAATCACGACATGCTTCAGCCAATGAAGTTCTTCGAATTAAGAAGAAGAAACGGAATGATTCAAATAGCTAAAGAGAGAGAGAGCGAACAAGGCTTTATGAAGAGAGGGCTTAGCAGTATGAGTTGACAAAAAAAAATCTCCTGCAGAATCGAAACCCTAACCCTAGAATGAGAGGGGGGTAAAGAGAGAGAGAGAGAGAGGGAGAAGGAGATTCGACGAATTTCGATAAACTAAAAGAAAACAAGAGAAAACCAGAAGACGCGCAAAGGCAGATTCTTTAAGCTTTGATGCCAATACGCTGCGTTTTCAGGGGTGAATCTAGTAATCGACTTAAGGTCGATAATACCCTTGTCGCTAACCTAAACCACGAATCTGCCATTTCTCCAATTGCATAAGACTTTTTATTGTTGCCACTTGCCAGATTCGTATCTTTGAACATTTACTATGTTTTGCTTACAATTTACTAATTTTATTTTTGAATGATGAGTTGATGACAAAAAATTTCGGATTTATCTATTTCTTGATTTAAGAATTTACAAAGTCACCATAACTTTAACAACTGTGTAACAAATGAGACCCAAATCTTCTTTAAACTTACCTATAATTTGATTTACAATCCGACCCATTTTCTAAGTGACTCTGATCAACAAGACCACCATTATGAACACACAATCATGGCAAAGATCAGGAGCCACTGGAAGCAACTCGTCTTTGAGGTTTCTGAATATATCTTTGTGGCTCTTACATCTGCATGTCCCGTGCTCGCTAAGCTTTGCTCAATGGCCTCCTCAGTAGAGTCTAGAATCTTTTGTTAATGAACACCACCCAAAAATATGTTTATACCAGTGAAGCCAGTGAAAAACAATGCATGAACATTCTTCTATTATCCCGTTGTTAATGATAATAGTTATAACAATGGAATGTTTTGTGAGGAAACATCTAACCTTTTCTGTATTTTGCACAGAATGGCTTATCATTAAACTACTCTCCTTGAGTTGTCTCGCAAGTACCACCATTTCATCGGTGAGATTCTCTTGAAACTTTCTGTCATCAAATAATTCACCAATGTGACATGAAAACCGCAAAATTTAACTCAAATTCAAAAGAATACAGCTTCACTCATTGCGATGAGTTTCTGTTTTTATCAAGAAAAAGCTGCATAGAAAGATCAAATGAGTTCCTAGTTTTTCCTCGGTGAGCTATGAATCTACCTTTGATTTTCAATGTGTGCTTGAGCTGCAGTGTCTAGTTTTATTGGATCAGCATCACCGCTTTGCTCCTCGGAACTTGTAGACCTACCTCAAACAAGGTAGCTCGTAAGAAAGTATAAAAATCAAAAAGTCCAAAATTGAGAAGAATGCGAGTTTCCACTTACACGATTCTTCTTCTAAGCTGTGGAGAAGTTGGGCTATGTGTATCTTCTTCTATCTTTGGAGAGCTTTCGCTGGTAGAATCCTTTGCAAAAGGTTCAACAGATACCTCTGTGTCAGGCTTTGAAATTGGCATAAATCAACTACTTGGGATCAGTTACATAAGTAAAGCTTCAAACTCTTGCAACTAAGAAATAGTTTCTATACAGAAACAAACCAAAATGTGAATTCCTGAAACTAAACCCACAAGGAAGTAAGAAAGCAACTTCAAACAATTCCTCAGACCAAAATGCCTAATTTCTTAGGCAACTTACCACTTGAGCAGCTATTTTTGAAGCAAAAGCTTCAATCTTCTCATAGTACTCATTCACCTTAGCCTTTGTAACTCTGGAAAAGAGAAGATAAGCACATTCGGTTCAAATTAATAACCTTTTTTAGTCTTTGGCCAAAATCAATTTCAAAATTTGATTCGAATATTTAACCCTTGATTCCAAATTCCAAAGCACAAAATCTGGGTTGAGATCAAACCTGGGAAGGCCTTGAGGGGTTTTCTCTTCCGAGAGTTGTTCTAATTGTTCCCTCAGAGTAGCAACATACTGCAGATATTTCATAAGATTAGGGACCTTGGAGAAGTTATAAGCACATAAAACAAATCATAGTTTATAAATTCATGAAGACACGTACATGAACAAGCTTTGATTGATTTTGCTGATGAGGTGCAGCGGAAACTAATCTCCGTAAATTGATCTCTGTTTTGCTGATTCCCATCGTCAGAGATTTCTGACGAAGGATTGAACATTCAGAACACAGAATCAAAATCAAAAACCCATTTCTATGAAGCTCTTCGAATTAAGAAGAAGAAACGGCTGATTCAAACAGGAAAAAAAAAGTCAGACTCTTTAGCTTTGATGCAATACGCTGCGTTTTCAAATCTAGTAGTACTTGACTTCTCACTTTAAAAGTCGACAATACCCTTGTCACTGACTCAAACAACGAATGCGCCATAGAGATGAATAAAAATATGTTTTGATTACTACAGTTGTATGTTAAGATCGAATTTACACATTTATTTTATGAATAATAATCCGGTTTCGGCTCAGAAGTCAGCAACGATGATGAAAGATGATTTATTTCTTAAATTGAGAAAAAATACAAAAATCTATCTCCTAATTATGATCTGTAAGTACAGAGAAACTGTAATTGAGAAAACTGAGAAAACTAAGTTCAAGAAAAAAAGATAACCAGGTTTTACACCATTACCCTACCGACTAATCAAACTCTCTAACATTCTAAACTTCAATTAGCAAAACCGGATCCGGTTCAGATGGATGACCAGCTAGGCTATTATGTGGCCACTGTACACTGGCTTTGAGAACACATCCAAAGAGATTTTTCTAGGTGTTCAGCACCTGCAAGAGAAACTCAAGACGTGTGAGATAAAAATAGTTATTGTATATCAATCATATGCTCATGAGTTTGAAATGAAATGTTCAACAAATCCACTAAATCTATCCAAAAAAAACCACCATAAGTACTAAGCTATTAGGTTTACCTCGGTTGGAAAGAAGACCAGCGGAACAAGACTTTCAGGAGTCCATATCATTTGGAACTGAGTGTGACTTGTCAAGAGCCCCATTGGTGTTAGAATCAACAGCCTCATTGATCTTCTTTTGTGGTTCTTCACTAGAATCAACCATGTGTTTCTTGTCAGATGGCTTACGCTTAGAATAGGTAACCAGTTTGATTACTCTCTGTGGCTTATCTGCAGACTCTCCATGATCCTTATCACAAGAAGGTTTCCTAGTATCTGTAAGCTTGTCATGAGCCACGAATAGCTCAGACCCACCTGGCTCGCTGGTTGTACATTTGGATAAAATGGTACAGTCTGCGTTGAGCCCACCATTTACAGTCCCCGGATCAGCATCAACATCATCGGTGGCTATGTTTTCCATATCAAAATCAACCATATCTTCAATGGGCTCTGAATAACTGAGTTTGGTGGTTGCAAGTTCCGACTTCTCAGCACCATCGGTGGCTATATCTCTGTTTGTGTCAGTCGTACATTCAGCTATATCGTGCCCTGTGATTTCAGTTACTGCACTTTCCGGTTTCTCATCATATGTGATCTCTAATTCCACTCCTGCATCACCAGTGGTGCTGCAGTCATCTACTCTTGGTTTGGCATCACGAGCCTCTTCTTCATTTACATTATCTGAGGCCTCAAGAGAGTCGCTCTTTCTTCCATTTTCTGCTTTCTCTTCCGACATCTTAGTAGAGTTGGAGACTTCTACATCATTTTCTCCTCCAATTCTAGGTTCAGATTCACCAGCAATTTCATCAGCTGCCATTGATTCACTGTCTGTGGGTTTCTCTGTCCTAGATTCTATGGACTTTCCAGAATCAAGCACTTGCAGATCAATAGTTAGTGGCGGTTCTAGATCAGTAGTTAGTGGCGGTTCCAGATCAATAGCTTTAGGAGCTCTAGATTCAAGATTTTCAGCAGTTTCCGTAGCTTCAAACATACTTTCTGTTCTGCTGCAAGATTCTGGTTTTCCAACCGTATCCGATAAATCTTTACTAATCTCTGCAGTTTCAGAATGGTCAGCTTCTTTGGAACCATTTTCAGTCTTCTCCGAAGAATCAACCATATCTTTATCACCTGACGCTAGAGTTGATAAAGCTGCATCGTCATCAGTTCTAGAGTCTGAGCACTTGGAATCAACATCATCTTTTCCATCAACTTCCATCTGTTCAGAGAGATCCATGGACTTATGTTCGAAATTCTCAGAAGATATTAAACTATCTTCGTCATTAGGCGCTAATGATGGTGAATAAACAGAATTTGTATTATTAGGCACTACATTTCCGGTTGAATGAATCAGGCCTCTGTAGTCATAATACGCCTCAGCCTGTGAATATCAGAACATATCAAGAATAGAGTAAAAGAGATCAAAATTAGTGAGTCTCGTCATTAACAGTAGAACTACCTTTGGCCTCGGAGATACTGCTTCAAACACATGAATTTCAGGCTCCTCATATTCTGGGATTTGCAGAATTAAGTAGGCTCCTTTGTTGTTGTGTCTCTCCTCTGTTTCCTGCATACAAGACAAAAGGTACTCAGCTTTGTATACAAGAAAGCGAAACATTTATAAGAAAAGCATTTGTTGAATCGCAAGAGCATACCTGAAACTGAGGATGATCAGGAGCACTGAACAAAGTTATAAGCCCTTCATGATCTTTTGCATACCCTTCATTCATTGATGGAAGACCATCTCGTTTTGCCCTTTTGTCAGGAGCTTCCTTCCCTCTGATGATCAACTGCCATAGAAAGAAATGACATCAAGGTGCTGAAAGAGTAACAAACACACCTAACTTGGTTTCAATATACAAATAAGATTGAAAGTGTTCTGTTTATATTCCAAACATAAGCATTTGGTTGATGAAAACGCCACTCAATGCTTCAATCAATTTTCCAATACTTCTAGGTGAAATCTTTTTAACACTTTAGTGTCACGGAAACTAATCAATCTTACCTTTAGATCATTTTCTTGCAGGAACTTGGCGGTACAATCAGGACCCCATAACAAACCAATGCCATTCTCTTTGTTAAGAAAGAGCCCCGTGTCCTTAGATGGATCTGACCACAGAATGTCACCAGGAATCAAGTTTGAACCTTCAGCAGGAGGATCAATAACACGCCTTTTCACTTTAGATAAATCCTTCAACGAGCCAAGTGGCAAAGACTCAGAACTATTTTCAGACTCAAGAACACTAGCATCCGCTTGCTTTTTCTGATTTCGCTTGCGTTTTCTGCTTCGTTCTTGTTTGTCTGAAAGAAACCTTGACACATCACGAAAAAGACCTCCATGAGCTGTAAACACCTTCCCACCAATCACAGAAGCCAAAGGGAGTAACTGGAAGCATTCCAAGCACTTTTTGTAAACAACTGCTCCTTTATCTCCATACTTGGTTAATACTTCATTTTTAAATCCATACAGTGATGTACAACTTTCACTCTCGTGACTGCCTCGTAGAAGATACACTCTATCTGGTAGAAACACCTAGCAAAAAAAAAAAAAAAAAATGAAGTGCCTATTATTAAAATATGTTGCAAAATGACAATTCTTGCTCCACAGGCACAAATATCAATTTAACAAAACTTCAAGGATGATAACCTTACCTTCCATGATAAAAGAAGTAAGAAAGTTTCCAAACCCCAAGCTCCGTTGTCTACATAGTTCCCATTGAACACATAGAACTGATCACCATTTGGGAACCCTGCATCCTGCATAAGGAACATCAAATCATGTAGCTGCCCATGTAGATCACCGACCACAACGACCTTTGCTTTGTCACTCTCTATCCTAACGCAGTTTGGCTCTTTTTTCAGGATTTTGGAAGCAGAGAGGACCAGCTCATCCAAGACGTTAAAAGGCAGAACACTTGAAAATTCACAAGGTGGGAGATTTCTCGAAGACCAATCAAACCCCAACATAACATCGCAAATCCAGCTGAAAGTAAGCTTCCCTCCCGAAGGCCAGAAAAGAGGTTTCTGGGAAACTGATGGTAAAGACTGCTCACATCCTATATCCTGAACAGGTTGCGTCACTTCAAGAGGTTCTGCCGAGAGACCATCATCTATTCCCATTTCATTCAAAGGTAATGGCTTTTGCGATATTATTGTAGGCGTAGGTTGAGGTAACATCAGAAATGGTCCTGGAGTTGGAGCTTGAGCAACAGAGCCTATAACAAAGGAATCAGCAATAAGTCTCCACAATATTTGTTTAGGACACAAGCATGTAACATGATCTGCAGATGTGATTATATTTGTATCATGAAGGCATGATCTGATATAAGGAATATATCATTTTTCTTTCTCTTGGTTCCAATCTAGTACATCACCAAGTTACAAAAAGTGTTTTAACTAGAAATTACTAAGAAAAGAACTTAGAGAGCCTAACAATTACTCTAACAGTTCTTATGGAAATCGTACCATTAGACAATGAGCCTAAAGGCGCATTGAGTTGAAGGGCGCCTGCACACATATCAACGATATTTTGTAATGTTTGCCTCGCGGTGTCAACAGTAAGTTCCTCTTCAAGCGCAGCCTTAGAAAGAGCATGAATGGCTGCAACTCTCTGAACCTGCAATATTTATATTGGTTATTAAGATTAAAGCAAGCAGAAACAAAAAACTGTAGAATTTAGGATGTTGGTCAGTATCCCTTACAAGCACTTGGAAAGCAAAACCAGTGGGTAGAAACTGCCCAGGACGTCTCTCGTTCATAGGACTAATAATCCTTCTAGTAATTCTACGGTACCACTCCATATAAGGATCATTATAGTCCATTGGGCCACATTCTGGCTCGCCGAAAACAACAGATGACTGGCGTGCCTCCCACATTTCAATATGTCGACTATGACGTGCTGACCAGTCATACTCTGACTTCCCTCTTTTGTCAATAGAATGAAGAGCTTTTTCATTATCACAAGGTGCTGGAATTGTTTGGTGAAGACCAAACTGCCTCAGTACCCGATCAGGACGATGCCACTCAACAACATCGAAACAAATTAAGGGTGCGACTGTTCGCCATATGTTCTGACCACTAAGACATATAAGAGGAAGCTTTGCTAGAAGATCATGAGTGTATGGCTGCCATATTACCTACACATATAAAAGAAGATCCCAAGTCGTTTACATCAATCACCACTTCAAAGATCTTCTAATAAACATTTTGGGAATAAAGAAGTTTGTCTTATATCTACCTAACTTATGGCTTAAGTTTGAAGTGAGTTATATACCTGCTCATCTTTTTGCTGGTCAAACTGGTCCCTGTAAAAATCCAGTCCTCCGCGAGGATTCTCTTTATGACTCAGAGAAGCCCTCCACCTAGCTTTCAAGAAGACTCATAAGCGAAACAAATTGGAATTAAACTTGTACGAATAAACTGAACACAGTATGATAAATGTCAATTACCTACAGCCTAATGGATCTGGTAAAGCACCGTCTATGCCTTCCATATACGAAGCACCAACATCTTTAAGTCTTCCTGGACGGCCAACATGTAGTCGTTCCCATGCCCATAACTGAAGCAGAACAAGAGGGCCACATATCGTAGAAACAGTTCTTTTACTTGCTCGACACAACTCTCTGTAAAGAAGTGCTAGAGTAGCACTACCCCAGCTAAGTTGAGCCACTTCATCAAAATCCCTTAGCAGAGGGAGAAACGTCAAAGCCACATCATGTTTAGACTTATCCCCGTAAAGAAACCCACTCATCAGAGCTAACACAAAAGCTCTAGTGTGACACTTCAACGTTTCTTCATCAGGGTCAGCAGGTAGATTCCGAAAGTTATCACGTAGCCATGCTAGTGACACATGAGAGCCATGTAGATCCTTGGCACCTGGTCTAAGACCTAGCAGGTCCTCACATAAATCAGCCCAATTGTTTTTTGTGCTACCAGTTACCGCAGGTCCATCCACACGGAGACCCAACAATATGTTCACATCTTGTAATGTCACTGTGATTTCTCCAGCAGGAAGATGGAAAGTATGCGTTTCAGGTCTCCATCTCTCCACCAGAGCTGTTATTAGAGCATAATCAAGCTGTATAAACGCAACCTTGTACACTCCATACAGACCAAACTCGATCAGCTTTTGACACACAAGAGGTTCCAGAGGCCAATCTCGCATGCCCAATAATTTGTGCCGGCATGTCAGTTCACGGGGAGGAACCTGAAAAGTGAAGTAACGGAAAAGGAAACATTTTTAACACCGGAAGCTAACACAAGAACATGTAAATGACTAAACTAAAACACACCTCATCTTCCCATATCGCAGCTGATCTATGCTCATGTTGCCACACCAATATAGATTGATCAACAGGACCAGGATCCAAATCAAAATTTAACAGGCTTTGCACCTCCATCTACATGATATATCACAGGACATAAATACCAATGATCAATCAATATACAAAATAAAGACAAACTAAACAATGATAGAAAAAAGCTAATCTTTCTGTCACCAAACAGTGAAACGTACAGTCTTGATCAAATTTAGCAGCTAAATTCTAAAAACTCCCATGAGCTTCCTACTAATTCATCAAAATTCTCGAGACTTAGCAAGAATCTTATCAAGCTTAAAGCCTGATTTCGAATTTATGATTAACTAAACCGTCCGAAGGAAAAAATATAAACGAATATTGATTAAAGAATTCGACACAAACAAACCCTAAACTGGGACGAACCAACTTGAAAGACAATCAAATCATCACTCGTATACACAGATATGAAGAACTGAAAACAAGAATCAGCAACAACAAAGAGATAAATAACAAAAAGAAAGAAAAAAACAGATTCTTCGAATATTAACGAAAGGAACAACGATTAACAAAAGAGAGTGTGTGATTAGAATTAGAAGACAAACCAAAGAAAAGCGTCCGTGATCAACAAAAGGCAGGAAAAAGAGAAAAAAAAAAAAAGACGTTTGAAAAAACCAGAGGAAGAAGAAATAAGCAGAGAAGCGTTAAGCGGGAGAGAAAGGAAATGAGAGACAGAGAGAGAGCTTCCAGATCCCACAGAAGTTTTCGGCTTCTTCGACGAAACGCTTAAGCACTTGTAATCCTTCTAGGTCTCTCCGAGGATCTAACCTTTTCGAGCTACGACGCCGTTTTTATTCGTGGGCCCATCTTGGCCCAAATGTGAAAAAACTCAGTCCGACAACGTTTGTGACTGTAAACTCGATTTTTTATCGATTATACGAGTTTTAAAGGGATACATTCGAGTCTCTAGAAATCTTCGTCGTTGCATTAGCTTGAAGTTTTCTCGAGACAAAAGAGTTGTTTTATTTGACGGATAATACAACTATACAAGACACGTGGCGTGAACCCATATCGTAAGAACGCCACGAAATCCACTTTGCATGCAACCTCGTTTGAACATCAAGATTCTCTCTTTCTCTGACTTTGATCTCTGAATCTACATACAAGTGTGTGATCTCTCTATTTAACCGATCATTATCTCAATTCCCCCTTACAACTACTACACATCAAAAGTTAGCAAACAAAAACTACACATCAATATAATATAAAGATTCATATATCAAGAAAAAAAATGCCAGGGATCACACTAGGAGACACGGTGCCGAACCTTGAAGTGGAGACAACGCTTAAAAATTTCAAGCTTCATGACTACTTCGCCGATTCTTGGACCGTCCTCTTCTCTCATCCCGGTATATATCTTGATTCATCCGGTTAAGTCTCGGTTTTTTTCATAAATGAAACCGAAATCAGCATCCTGTATCAAATATTTTATACTATAGATTTATTAATTACTTTTGTTACAATTCTACTTTTTGATTTCTGTGATACATACCGTATTGACTTTGACGGTTACTCAGGGGATTTCACACCGGTATGCACGACGGAGCTCGGTGCGATGGGCAAATACGCTCATGAGTTCGAGCATAGAGGTGTGAAGCTCCTTGGTTTGTCTTGTGACGACGTACAGTCACACAAAGACTGGATCAAAGACATCGAAGCCTTTACGGTATAGTTAAATCTCATGCACGCAAACAAATACACAACAAGTTACCAATATTTGATCTAGCTAGAGATCATATTTTCGTTATGATTATTGTAAAATAACACTGTGTTTTATTTGTGTGTGTGTGATATGTACAATTAATATAGCCTGGAAGCAAGGTAAAGTACCCGATAATCGCTGACCCGAACAAAGAGATCATTCCTCAGCTTAACATGATTGATCCAATTGAGAATGGTCCGTCTCGTGCTCTTCATATCGTCGGTCCTGATTGTAAGGTATTAATTGATTATAATTAGTTTACCTAACTGCAAATAGATATGATATATTTGTTGCTTATTGAAATTTTTATAATAGATAAAGTTGAGTTTCTTGTATCCATCGACCACGGGACGTAACATGGACGAAGTGTTGAGGGCTTTAGACTCGTTGTTGATGGCGTCCAAACACAATAACAAGATTGCAACTCCGGTTAACTGGAAACCGGACGAACCAGTTGTGATTTCGCCTTCAGTGTCAGACACAGAGGCTAAGAAGTTGTTTCCTCAGGGTTTCAAGACTGCCGATCTCCCGTCAAAGAAAGGCTATATGCGTCTCACCGATGTTTCTTGAAATACCAAAAAAAAAGAGAAATAAACAAATACTAATTATGTTGTAGTGTATAATAATAACGTTTATAACGTGTTGACTAAACATAGAATAACTACGTCTTGTAAACGTATCGTGTGTTCTTGTGTTGTACTCACGAGGGTTATGGCTAAATTAATAAAATTACCGTATGTTTTTTTTCGTTGAGTGAGTGTAAAAAATTATTTTTGAAAATTAAATTAAGGGCAAACGAAATGGTTAAATCTCACTTTTTTACCCTTTTTTGGGTGCAAAATCTTTAATCTATCCAAAAAAGAAAAGAAAGGGTGAAAAAGTTTGAATTCGATCTGAAACCGTATCAAACCGATACAGAGTGAACCGAAATCTGGATTAAAGTGATTTAGACCGGGTAAATAAAGTGTAGAGCATACGACACCGTATGGTGTTTCTCTTAATTTTGATTCGCATAGTCGCTTGTTCATCGTTGTTGACGGCTAGTACTTGGATCTTCTCTTTTCCTTCCCCGATCTGATTTCATCGTTTCGGATCTCATCTATTAACTGTGAGTATATTTCGTTCCTCCTCGATTTTGTGTGGCTAGTTCTCAATTAACGCTTAATCGGGTTAGAGAAATATCTCCTTTCGGTTCGTTTTGTCTATTGCTTTGCCATGGAATTAGCGTGATTTTCGTGGTGTAGTTTGTAGCTAATTCAGTGCCAAGATCCCATCTATTGACAACTGATTGCTATAATTGATTTCTTCTTGTGGTGATGAGAGGTTTTGACCAGTTTTGGAGATGTTTAGTATCGTTTATCTTGAGGATTATTTGATGATCATGTTTGTTGCCCTGGAGGTTCGGTTGTAAATTGTGAAAAGTTAAATTTGATTATGAGTTGTTTCAAGTATGCTCGGTGATTGATTTGTTTTCTACAACTTCTAAGACAATGTGCATCAATCAATATCTGCATTTCTTTTGTACAGCAATGCTTAATACTTTTATATGAATTTTGTTTTTGTTTTCAAAGGACAAATGAAGCATATAGTAAAGATATTGAGCCTGTTGGTGGCAATATCTGCCTTCTGGATTGGTCTTTTGCAGGCTGCGATTGTTCCTCGAAGCCATACATGGTTGGTGAGTAACCCATCAAGTTATTGTTCTTGTGTTTGGTTTCTTGCTCTTTTGAAACATAGGATTGTGTTTCTGATTTGGTAATGTCGCCGCAGCTACCGATCTACTTTGTAGTATCTCTCGGATGCTATGGTCTATTAATGGTTGGAATCGGGCTAATGCAGTTTCCTACCTGTCCCCAAGAAGCTCTTCTCTTGCAGCAGGTGATAAGCTCTTTGTTTGCTAAATCTTCTAATCTTGCTCTTATTTTACACTCTGTTCATTGTTTTGAGTAATGTAATCCAGTGTTATTCTTTGTTGAATTTTCTTCAAAATTTGCTAATTCAGTGTCTTTTGTCTAATTGTGTTGGTTGCAGGATATTGCAGAGGCCAAAGACTTCTTTAAGCATAAAGGGGTCGATGTTGGATCGGATTGACACAATAGCTTTTTAACGGCCAAGCATTAGAAATAGTTTTTGTTATTGACAAAGATCTTAAAGAGTTAAAGGTGCTGTTTGGATAGTTTTCAGTTGAACAGTGTTTCTGAGGCCAAGCGCCCCATTACGCAACACAGCTTATGCATCTAAATCGCAAAAGCAACAATAGATATTTATCTCTGTTTCGCTTTTTTATCATTCTTCCTTGTCCAACAGTATCTATGGATGCTGTCAAAAAATGTAAGCACAGTGATGAAACCAACGATAGCTTAGGGGTTGAAAAAAAACTATGTTCTCTTTGAAACACTGTTGTGTTTTCTCTGTAAGTTCTAAAAATTAAAAGCCATAGAATCTGATGCGAGGAGAAAAATGATTGACAGAGGGAGTAGAGAGAAAGAGAGAGAGGGCTTGTTTATCTCTTCTTCTTGCCACCTTTGCCTGACTTTGAAGAAGTTCCAGAGGTTGAAGTTGTGGCCTGAGGTTCCTGCTTCTTCGCTTTCTGAGATTCTTGCTTCTTCACTCTCTCCGGATGTCTCGGCACCAGCTCTGCAATTTTCTGCATCAGTTGCTTCCCTGCAAACATATATCACCAACACAATGAGCACATCATATGTCTGAAAGAACACCTCGCAGTGCTACGCAGGTGGAGTCTTTACTTGCAAAGCATGTAAAGCTGCAAAGCCAAATGGATATCATATATCCACTATTTTTTATGGGCATGAGGATAAGATCAAAGCAAGCAAAAACATCTAACGAACAAGCAACTTGGACAATGATTTTATGCCCTCATTTCTGCGTGTTATGGTCTAGCTAGCTATACAGATGCAACCGTATCAATGCAAACACAAATACAAACACATCAGGAGTCTTGCAAATTGCCAAAGATTTACTTGAAATAAACAAGTTTTATATATAGCTCATTTAGCATCTGAGCCTGCCATAGTGTTATGCAATGATATCATAGAAAACACAAGCACCTATCAAAGCCGAAAAATTCAAAACTTAACACAAGGATCTGGATAAAGAGTTAGTGAAGATCGATATAAAATGAGGTAAATGCTAGAACTTGCACAATAACCTGAAGTTCCTTAAGCGTACGATCGATATGTACAAAATATATAACAACTTGTTTTCGCACATAAGGTTTTTATAATAGTAATGCTGACTATAACTGAAAAATTTAGGGATCACTGGATAGAGCGTCCGGATCAAAGGTTGAAATTGCTGCTGACATAATTTGAAGATCAATGAAGAAGTTCCAATCAAGATTCAAGAGATATGATGAGATAACCATTGTTCAAAAGTTCATATTAGAGACCAGAGTTGAATACCCAACTACAGCTTAGATAGCAATCAAGCTGGAATCAGAAAACATTCACAGGAAAGTTGAACACATCCACACATGATTCACAAGGAGAGATACCAACCAAACAACAAGAGTTACTAAAGGCAAAGGAAAGCTAATTACATGTTAGTATTTTCTAAGTCAATGAAGACTGGCTTCTGATTTCAGGTCAGGTATACAAAAACACAAGCTCAATTCAATTCATCACTAGGGTAACAATATAAGGTCTTACTTGAAGTAATGGCTGGATTGAGTAAAGTGCCATCTTCCCTTTTCAACTGCACTCTCACTCTCCCTACTTGCATGAAATCTCGCGGGTACGCTTTGTCAATCTGGAAAAACACCATAAGATCTCAAATCAAAATCAAAAGACCTCGCAAAGACAGAGATTTTTTCCCAGTAAATCCAATAGGATGAATTGATTACCTCGACAGCACTAGGGAGTTTCAAATGCTTGCAACAGTCACTAATCTCAATGCAATTAGGGTTCTCACATGCTTTACTCAAACTGATTCTCCTTCCCTCAGCTACAGTTTTCTTTGAGTTAATATAGACTGGATACATCACTACCCATTTCTTGATGTTGAGTGCTCCACTATCCATCTACAGAATCAATAACCAAATAGATTAATCCAACTTTTAAACCCAAAAAACCAAGATACCAAATTTTATATCTTAAAGCCATTAAACAAGGACGAATGTGTTCATCATCTAGAAACATACGGCCCAATACCCGATTAAACCCATGTAAATTACACAGATCTGTTTCGATTTCCAGGTAATTCACAAGCATCGAGACCCCAAATCGTATACATGCGCAAGAAGGAAGATAACTAAACTTTTTGTTTCCACGAAAGATAAATTTATACATAATCTTAAAAAAGAGAAGAGAGACGAACCAGGGATTAGATTCTTCGAAATCTAGAAACCAAGCTTTTCGATTGCTACGGATCAGAAGAAAATCGATTAGGGGAGGGCAACGAAGGAGAAGAGGAGAAATTTCCCAGTGAGAGATTTTACGTTTGACCTCGCATTGATTTTTGACTTGTTTGATTATAATACCGTCATCTAAAATTGAACCATACAGAACCGGATTTAACCGGAAATTCCAAATTGTAAAATTGATTTTGATTCGCTTAGGCCAGGTCATTGGGGGGGTGTTCCCGGTTTTTGGCCCGGGATCATATGCGTTTTGCATTAAAAAAAAATGAAAATGAGCCCAACACGGAAGATTCGGGTCGTGCGGACGAGCCCAACGACTCCGTGTCTGAGCCATATGACGTTTGATGATTGGGCGTGAAAAATGAGAATTTTACGTGAAAAAAAAACATTCGAGGACGAAAATCATTTTTCTCTTTCCCCGAGTTTAGGGTTTTCTCGTGAGTCTCTGCGGTGATTTTGGCGATTCCGTCACCGCCTGTGTTTTCCGTTGATAAATCCCGGTGAAGCTGCCATCCGAGCATCATCCTTCCATCGATATAATCCTGGTAAGCTTCTACTCTTCGATTTTTCTTTTTGGTCGTTTGGATTTCGAGTTTTTAGAGATTGAGATTTTTGGGGAAAAAAATCAAATGAAATCTGGGTTTTTTTTGAGTAATTAGGGTTCATTACTTGTACATAGGTACGCTTTCATGGCCGTATTCGAAATTGCATGTCGAATTTGGGAAAAATCTACAAAGTGAAATTAGGGTTTTTACGATTGGAGAAAAAATTTGGGGGTTTGTTTTGGGGTTGCAATTGGTGTGTAATTCAATGAATTTAGACACTGATTAAACTATTTGTGAAATGATTTAATGGTTTTAAGCTTAGAATCTGAGTTTTGGTTTCGATGTAATTCGAGTTTTCAATAATGGGGGAGTATTTGGGGCCTTTGTTTAGATTCGAACTGGGTTTCACTTGATCTATTACCGAAATGTTTAGATTCGAAATGTTTGGGGCTTTTTGAATAGATTCGTAATGTTTAGATTCATATTTATGATATTTATGAATGAGATTATCGAATGTTTAGGGTTTAGAGTGCTAATAAGTCTATCAGATTATCGAATGCTTATAGATTATTGAATGTGATTATCGATTGAGATTTGAATCATTTGGTGGCTCTTATTTATGATACCCGTGTGAACTGAAATGTTTTTTCTGATTTACATTGTCTGTTGTGCTAAGTATATGGAATTAGTTTAGGATTTAGTTGTATAGTACTGATCAAAATCTTGTTTTGTGGACAGAGTATGCCAAGTTACAGTAGCGGTTCGTAAGAGGAAGAGGTGCCTTATTGGGCTTACGCGGATGCCACGTATGGCATCCCGGAGAAGTGCTTTTGTGGCCTGGTTGGGAAACTCAACCAAAATGAAGCCGGACGGAAGTATTATTCCTGCCCTAAGTGGATTGATGAGGTAAGTTGTGTGAGTTAACTTGTAGTTTGTTTTGGTTGTATCAATCGTTTCCTAATAGGTTGTATTATTCGTTTCCTAATAGTTTGTTTTACATGTAGGGCTCTTTTGACCACATTCACCAATGGTGGGATCGTGCGGTCACAGAGCAGTGTGAAATCCTCGCGACAAGGATAGAGAACCAGCATGCAATGATCGCGAGCATTGATCGGGGAAGGATTCAATCTGTAGATCCAGCCATAGGAGAGGCCCGTGAGGAGCAAGCAAGGCGTAATGAAGAAGTTCTTGAAGAGTTAACCAGGCTGGAGGGAGAAGTACGGTTTTTGAAGGACCGCATTGGTGCTCAAGGTGAAACCATATCAATGCTGATCTTTTTTGTGTTATTGCACTGCTCGCATATATCTGTAGGGTTTAGGTTTCGGTTAGCATTGAGTACTAAACTATTTAACATGGTCTCTTTTAATCTTTTTTGCTGAGGATCATTTTGGACTCTACGTGGACAAGGGTTAGACTTCATGGCATACGGTCCTTCATGGCATATGGTGCAAAGTGAAGGTTAGTTCTCTTTAAACCGTATCGGTTGTTTACGTTTAGTTGGAACAAGAATTGTGTGTGTTTGATATGTAGTTTAGGTCTTTTTAATGCTTGACATGACATGGCAGATTTATGTAATTAATACCTTGTCCGAGAACTCAAAAACTTCTTTGCAAAGTTGAAAACTGTCTTAAAAACTTAGGATCATCAGAAGTTCCCTTGTTTAGCACACAAGGTTCTGATGATCCGTCTGATCATGCGTTGAAGAGAAAAGTCTGGAGTCCGAAGGAAGACGTCCTCCTTATCTCTGCGTGGCTCAACACCAGCAAGGATCCCGTTGTGGGAAACGAACAGAAGCTCGGTGCTTTCTGGTAGAGGATCCAGCTCTATTACAACGCTTGCCCGGAGCTTGAAGGTCTGCCAAGAAGAGAATGGTCGCAGTGTAAGCAACGATGGAGAAGACTCAACGACCATGTCTGTAAATTTGTGGGTTCCTACGCAGCTGCAGAGAAGCAAAAAAGTAGCGGTCAGAATGACAATGATGTAATGAAGCTTGCACATGAAATTTTTGTCAATGACTATGGCATTAAGTTTACCCTTGAATACGCCTGGAGAGAGTTGAGGTTCGATCAGAAATGGTGCACGACCAGCTTAACACAGGAAGGTGCATCCGTAAAAAAAAGAAGAGTAGAAGACTCGGCGCAGTCGTCATCATCAATGCCTGGAAGCGTGAACGATATTGAAGTGGAGCCTCGGCCTCCCGGTGTCAAGGCGTCGAAAGCCAATGCGAAGAAATCAGGAGGCTCGAAAGCTGAAACCAAAGATATGAAGGACTTTTCTTCCATGTGGGACATGAAACTAAAAGACCTCGAATTGAAAGAGAAGATCAGGGACAAGAGGATTCTTGAGAGCCTTTTAGCAAAGAATGAACCCCTAACAGATGTTGAAATTGCTTTGAAAAACAAGTTAATCCGTGCTATGTATGATCTCTAGGTTAGAACTTAATATTTCCTTTGGCTTGGACTTTTGTGTTTTTGGCATTTTCGTTTACCTTGTGCTATTTTTAGGATCTACCTTTGTTCTGATATTGTTAGTTTTCATTAAGTATGAACTTCTGCTTTGTATACTTGAGAGAATATATTCTTTTGTGTACTATGCGTAGCTTAGCTTACATTGTGATCTTTTGTTGCTTCTGACGTTAACGTGTTTTGTGCAGGGTGTGTCACAGCAAGTTGCTTTCCAAGATGCGTCTGTGACCATATGCTCTACTTTGTAGGGGCCAGATGCTTTTGTTGTTTTCCCTTGTAACCGCATATTTAGAATCTTGTAATATGGACCATAAGTTGGCCAACTAGCTTTGTAGCCACAGCTTCTATCTATCGGCCGTGTATTTATATGTGTTCAGACAGTTATGTTTTCATTCAAACCTCTTTGCAAATTTTAGTCATATTGTTGTTTCTTTTTTCCATCTTCTCGGCTAAAAAAAAAATTCATCAACCTTTCCCAAATTCCATATTCTCTTCTCATTCAAACTAAAAACACTTTGTCAAACACAAAAACTTGGCCAAATTCTATCCTCAAATTTTTCCTCTCCTTATCTCTAATCACCAATATCTAAAAAATTTATAATGGCAGCATCATCAAGCCATGATCGATTGGATGATGCATATGATGATCGATTAGATGATGAATTTGATGATGCCTTTGATGATGCTTTTGATCAGAAGTTTGAGGATATGTTCAATTCTATCGTCAACGCAGAAAAAAGAAAAAAGAAAAAAAGAGCATACATTGAAAGAGAGCGTGAACAAGGCCACGTTCGGTTATGGAACGATTATTTCAGCGATGATGCTACTTACCGTCACATATATTCCATCGCCGTTTTAGGATGAACAAAGATTTGTTCATGCGTATAGTTGATCGCCTTTCCAATGAAGTACCGTACTTCCGGCACCGAAGAAATGCCATCGGAAGATTAGGTCTATCTCCTCTCCAAAAATGTACTGCGGCAATTCGTATGATGGCATATGGTACCGCAGCTGATGCAGTTGACGAGTATCTCCGGGTTGGTGCTAGTACAGCGTTGTTATGTTTGGAAAATTTCACCGAGGGTATAATATCCTTGTTCGGTGATGAGTATCTGAGAAGACCCACAGCTGATGATCTTGAACGCTTACTGAACGATGGAGAGGATAGAGGCTTTCCCGGGATGATAGGAAGCATCGATTGTATGCATTGGGAGTGGAAGAATTGTCCGACTGCATGGAGAGGGCAATATACACGGGGGTCAGGAAAACCGACAATCGTTTTAGAAGCAGTTGCATCACACGATCTTTGGATATGGCACGCATTTTTTGGACCTCCAGGTACATTAAATGATATAAACGTTCTTGATCGTTCTCCAGTTTTTGATGACATCTTGCAAGGTCGAGCTCCAAAAGTAAGATATTGGGTAAACGGTAACGAGTATCGTTTGCCATATTATCTAACCGACGGTATTTATCCCAAATAGGCGACATTTATACAATCAATTTTATCTTCCACAAGGAGAGAAAAATAAGTTATTTGCAACAACTCAAGAATCCGTCCGAAATTATGTGGAGCGAGCTTTTGGCGTTCTGCAAGCTAGATTTGCAATAATAAAAAATCCAGCTCTTTTTTGGGATAAAGAAAAAATTGGCAAGATTTTGCGGGCTGCTATCATATTACACAATATGATAGTAAAGAACGAACGACATAGCTGTAGTCTCTTCAATTTACAAGAATTCCAACAACCAGAAGGAAGCCGAACTTCGTATGTTGATTGGACATATTCTACAAATAGACCTACAAATATTGCAAATTTGATGATGGCAAAACGAAACGAGATCCGTGACAACCAGATACATAAACGCCTAAAAGCGGATTTAATCGAAAATCTCTGGAATAAACTTGGTACTTCTTAAATGTTTTTAAGTATTTCTATATTTAAAAGTGTTGTATGTTTTGTAATTTTCTTTCAATAATTTGTTTATTTCTGTACTAGATGTATTTCTCTTTTCTAAATTGTATTTCTTTTTTTTAATAAAAATGTGTTTACTTTTACTTTTTTAAATATAAACAAAAAAAAAGAAAAAAGAAAACGAGAGAAAAATGTTTCTGAGGGCGATTCGTAACGGTTACTTTTCGCTCATCGGAAGTGATTGTCCGGCCACGTCTCTGCTTTCTTTTCGGCGACATCGTGCCGGTTTCTTTCCGCGGTCCACGTTCTCTGATTCGGATGAATGGAACACGTTCTCTCGCGGTTTTCATCTCTCATCGTGCATCATTGCACACGATTGGAAACCGCCGTGGCCACTCTATAAATTTCAATCCGGGTATGTCTCTCAATCCCACACTACTTCCTTCCCACAAATCTTCCAAATTTCCCAGAAAATGAGTGAAAGCCTTCGCCAAAGAATGCAAAACATCAATCTCGGTATTACTGATGAACCGGTTGCTCTTCCATCGGAAATCATCAATCATGCGGTGGCAAATAACCAGTTTTCTCTGGTGGTGGTTCCTCTTAACCGGAGGAAACAAAATTTGAGGGCTATGATTTCGCAGATGGCGCGAGTCTGGGGGCTAGATTCAGCAACTACTGGGCGTATGATTGGCCAAAACCAGATCCAATTCATGTTTCAGTCCGAGGAAACCATGAATCTCGTACTATGTCGTACCCCCTGGTCTTTCGCTGATTGGATGGTGACGGTTCACCGTTGGTCTCCAAATCTCCCTGACGACGCTAGTAAAGTGATTCCCTTCTGGATCCAGATCAGGGGAATACCACTTCAATTCCTTTCCAGGCCCACCATTGCATTTATCGGAGATCTTTTTGGGCAGGTTGTTGCAGTGGATTTCGATGAATCTTCCACCCGAGTAGATTTTGTTCGTGTTCGTGTGCTCTGGAATGTAGATAATCCTCTGCGTTTCCAAAGGAATTTCCAGTTTGAAGCCGGTGTGAACACGGTGATCTGTTTCAAGTATGAGCGACTTCGAAACTTCTGCAAAAGATGTGGAATGCTCACCCATGAGAAAAAGGAGTGTCCTCTTCAGATGCCAGGTGAAGACCCTTTCTCAGAATCTGATGGAGATGATAATGACGAAGATGGAGGTAATGATCCTAATCTCGGTGCTGGTGAGGCCCACAAAAATCCTCCTTCAAAGACGATTTCTGATCCGCTGGGTGGGTCAGCTTCTCATGAAGCTAGTGGTGTCAATGCTGGTATTGTTGCTGTTCAACCGTCGGAAGAAGTACTTTCAGAGGAGGAGCGCCGACTTCAAGCGATCAGAAAGGCAAAGGGGAAAGGACATGTAGATGCTGCTGTCGAGAGGTTTGAAGCATCTGCTCGGGAAGGTTTCAATAAAAGGAAACGCCAAGAAATTGAGGAAATGTTGCAATTTCCATATCAAAATGGTCAGGCGGACGTGTGCCTGGTCAAGAAAAGAGCTTGTGATGATGAATCTCAAGACTCATGCTGGATCAACCAAGAAATAGACAGAGCCGCGGGGGGGTCGGTTCCCTCATTGTTTCCCCCATGAAGATATGCTCCTGGAACTGTAGAGGGGTGAAGGGATCGTTGTCGGAACCATGTCTGAAGAATTTATGTCGCAAGTTTAGTCCTGATGTTGTGTTTTTAGTTGAAACTTTAAATGTATCCGATGTTGTTAGGGATGTAGCTGTGTCTTTAGGATATTTCAATGTCATTTGTGTGCCTCCTCTGGGTCGTAGTGGAGGATTAGCTGTGTTCTGGAATGATGATGTTAAGGTGTCTAGTCTTTATGAAGATGTAAGGTTGATCGACCTGTTCATTCAGTTCAATGGAATGGAGTTCTTTTTATCTTGTGTTTACGGACATCCTGCTTAACAGTATAGACATGAGCTCTGGGAAAGACTGGAAAGGATCAGTACAACTAGAAATGGTCCTTGGATGCTAGTCGGAGATTTTAACGAGATCTTATCTAATGAAGAGAAGATCGGTGGTCAAGTAAGAGGCGAATGGAGTTTTCAAGACTTTCGAAATTTATACAGCGCTTGTGATCTTCATGATTTGAGGTATCGAGGTGATAAGTTTTCATGGGTGGGAAAGAGGTATAATCACACTATCAAAGAATGTTTGGACAGAGTTGCAGTAAACTCTGAATGGTTGGCTACTTTCCCTGCTTCAGAAGCTGAATTTCAGGGCCTTATATGGATCGGATCATAGACCTGTTATCACTCATGTGGCTTTTGTTTCTAATCCTGGTCCAAGACGTTTCCATTTTGATAAGAGACTTATTCAACAAAAAGACTTCAAGGATTATGTTACCAGAGGGTGGAACTCTTCTAGTTTATCAGAGAATAAGTTTATCACAGATCAGATAAGAGAATGCAGGAAATCTTTGGCTCTTTGCAGAAGGAATTCTAAACTTAGCTCGGCTAAGAAGATTGAATCTCTTCAGTTAGAGTTAGATCATGCGCTCCAGTCAACAGGTTCAACTCGTCAAAGGATTCCATACATTCAAAAGGAGTTAGTTAATGCGTATAGAGATGAAGAACTGTACTGGAAACAGAAGACCCGAAACGCTTGGTTGAAAGAAGGTGACCGTAATACCCGATTCTATCAAGTCTGCAAAAAGGCAAGATTCTCTCGAAACAGGATTCATACCATTCATGATGATGTAGGTCGTCAATACAAAGGAGATAAGGAGGTTGGCAAACATGCAGAAGCTTTTTTCAAAAAGATATATTCTAGCAGTAACCATCCGGTCAATGCTCAAATATTTGAAGGTTTCACAAGTTCAGTCTCGGATACAGTTAACTCTAGCCTAACCAAGGACTTCTCGGATAAGGAAATCTTTGATGCAGTATGCTCTATCGGTGCAGACAAGGGACCTGGTCCTGATGGTTTTACAGCTAGATTTTATCAGGAATGCTGGGACATAGTGGGAAAAGATGTCTCCAAAGAAGTTCACAGATTCTTCTCTACTAGTGAAATGAAACCTGGTTTAAATCATACAAACATATGTATGATTCCGAAGATTAGTAAACCGGTAACCCTTTCTGACTATAGACCGATCGGTTTGTGTAATGTTATCTACAAAATTATCTCCAAACTGATGGTCTTAAGGTTAAAAAGCTGTCTGAATGATATTGTTTCTGAAGAGCAGTCTGCTTTCATCCCAGGAAGAATGGCTTCAGATAACGTTTTGGTGGCAAACGAGCTTATGCATTCATTAAAAGTTAGGAAAAGAGTTTCCCAGACTTATATGGCAATCAAGACTGATGTTAGCAAAGCTTATGATAGAGTTGAATGGGGTTTTTTGGAAGCTACACTTCGAGCTTTTGGATTTGCTGAAACGTGGATCAGATGGACTATGGCTACAGTTACAACTGTATCATATTCAATTTTGATCAATGGGAGTCCGCAAGGTTTGATTGTTCCGGAGAGAGGACTTCGTCAGGGTGACCCTTTATCACCATATTTATTCATCCTATGCGCTGATGTACTAAGCCACCTTGTTAAATCTATGACAATGAAAGGCAAGATCAAAGGTATAAAGATTGGCAATGGAGTTCCTCCTATTTCTCATCTGTTGTTCGCAGATGACTCTCTTTTTTTCTGCCAGGCCAATAACAGGAATTGCAAAGCTCTGAATCACATTTTTAAGCTCTATGAGGAGAATTCTGGACAGATGATCAATCAGAGTAAATCCATGATTACCTTTGGGTCTCGGATTCCAGGAAATCAACAAGCCAGGCTAAAAAACATTCTGGGTATACAGAATCAAGGTGGAGGAGGCAAATATCTGGGTCTGCCCGAGCAATTTGGTCGAAAGAAGACTGAAATGTTTAAGTACATTACAGATGCAGTAAAGAAAAGAACATCTTCTTGGAAATCAAAATTTTTGTCTCCAGCTGGTAAAGAGGTTTTACTCAAATCGGTAGCCATCTCCATGCCTGTGTATTCTATGTCATGTTTCAAGATTCCACTAACAGTCGTGAATGAAATAACTAGTATTCTATCCCGATTCTGGTGGGAGAAGAATGAAGAACAAAGAGGCATCTCTTGGGTGGCTTGGAACAAGTTACAACTCACTAAGAAGGAAGGCGGACTTGGTTTCAGAGATTTAGCCATGTGTAATGATGCGCTTCTCGCTAAGCAGGCATGGAGGCTATTCCAATATCCAGACTCTCTATTTGCAAGACTTTTCAAGGCCAAGTACTATCGGGAAAGTACGGTTCTTGAAGCACGTCCTCAGAATCAGCAATCTTTTGGGTGGTCTTCAATATTAGTGGGTCTTGAACTATTAAAACAGGGAGTCAGATATAATATTGGCTCAGGAAAAGATATCAACGTTTTTTCAGACAACTGGCTTCCTTGTGATTTCCCAAGACCTGCTTCAGGAGAGATTGTGGAGAATTTGAAAGTAAGAGACCTTATCACGTCAACCTCAGTTTATCGGAAATGGAATGAAGACTTGCTGGATACGCTTGTGGTAGAAAATGATAAGGAGGTGATCAAAAACATTTTTTTAGCACAAGAAGAGGAAGATGACAAACTGATATGGCATTATTCTAAGGATGGGGACTACTCAGTTCGTTCAGGATATTATTTGGCTCGCCGCTTAGCAGATCCAAATATGAACAATGTTCCTCCTCCTCATGGTGATCCCATTTTGAAGGATAAAATCTGGAAGCTTAACATTGTACCAAAGCTGAAACATTTTCTCTGGAGAATCGTGTCCAAAGCTTTGGGAACAGCTACTAGATTGCAATCCAGAGGCATCTATATTGATCCAAAATGTCAAAGATGTGGTTTACAAGATGAAACTATTAATCATCTTTTATTTGAATGCCCGGTGTCTAATATGATGTGGAGACTAGCAAACTTGCCTATTCCAAGTATCCTCTGCCCTTCTCCTTCCTGTGAAGAAAACATCCGAAGCTTGATTGATTTGCAGGGTGATCGTACTCTTACAGTAGAACAAAGCCTTATTCCTCTTTGGCTCTTGTGGCGCATTTGGAAATCCAGGAATAATCTTATTTTTAACAAGCAGATTCCCCGTCCATCTCAAGAGGTTTTATTTGCAATTTCAGAAGTCAAACAATGGGTACAAGCAACTAAAGAGTGTTCTCTTAACACTAACAGCTCTATTCCTCCTTCTTCTCGAGATAAGTCATGGTCTCGTCCCATTCCAGGTTTTTTTAAATGTAATTTTGATGCGGTTTATAATACTACATCTAGACAAGCCTCAAGTGGATGGATCATAAGAGATGATAAAGGCATAGCAAAATACTGGGGATCTATGGCGTTAGGGGATACAAACTCTGCACTGGAAGCTGAAGGAAAATCCCTCTTAGCAGCTCTGCAGGTATCGTTTATGATGGGATATCAGCACATTATTTTTGAAGGGGATTGCAGGTCTCTTATTCAAAACTTGAAAGGGGAAGACAAAGATTTTGGGATCCATAATCTGTGCAAGGACATCTGGACTTGGGCTATGAAATTTAGAAGTGTCGACTTCAAGTTTGTTTATAGACACTGTAATGAAGCGGCTCATCAGTTAGCTAAAATTAGGAGTCCTACACTTAACTTTTTTTCAAATTGTTGTAATCCTCCATTATGGCTTACTCCTTATCTACATAAGGACTATGTATCCTCGATACCTTCCTAATTTAATATAAATGTATTTCAGTCGAAAAAAAAAAAATAAAAAAAAATTTTTAAAAAATATTTATTTGGGATGACCCCGAACTACAAGTTCATTACTGGAAGCACTTTTCCCACATGAGTTCTTCCCAAACTTTAACCAAACTAAAAATTAATTTTTAATTCTAATGATCCAATTGAGAGGGTTACTAATGAACATGCCTTTAGAATAGAAAAAGCCAGAGACCTGACTTTTCTCCGACTCGAGCGACAATGGAGACTGAATACGACCAAGTTCTTCGCTCCGTTTCTAAGGTTAAAATCGCCGACCAAGTCGGTGATTCCGGCGAAGGAAGCAGAGACGTGGACGATGTAGTAGTCTCGTGTTTCACGGAGGTTTTCGATGACGTTACTCTCCAATTCCAATTCATCCGTCTCCCGAAACAGGTTCCCGCCAAGACCTTAGCTAACTTGTTTTCTTCTCGAAATCTCAAGTCTTCGATCCTCATCAGAACTGAAATTAGCCTTACTCGTTTCTGCAGATTTATGTATGGGTCGGTTGTAATTCCGCCAAATTCGGGAATCTGTATGCAGCCGCTTCAACGCGACCAGTGAGTTGAGCGAAAACCTAGTGTTCTGGATTCTGATTTCATGGAAATTTTGGGTTTTTTCAAGGTCTAATTTAATGTTTGTGAGTACTGATTTTGTTATATTTTGTTTTTATGGCAGAGCAATACAGTGAGTGTTACTTCAGTACTTGGTGGAACATCTGATAACACCGGATCTGGCATTGCTCGTAGATTAGGTTAGAATCTGTTCGTTAACTATCTTGCAAATTGCAACGCTATTTCTTGATGTATACAGTGATAATCTGTCTTGTTTTGTGTGTTTTCGTAGTGATGAAGACTGGTCTCAATATAATCCTTGCTTGCAACATCCCTAAAAACAATCCCTTGCTCGAGGTTCTTGCTTTCTTTCTTTTCCCCTTTTTTCTAAAAGCTGCATTGTATTGTAGAAATGGAAAAGTAACAAGCTTTGTTTTTTTTTATTATACTCTTTTTTTGATATCTCGTTTGTGTTGTTGTTGTGTAGGCAAAAGCTGAGAAAGTGTTGATTAGAAAGCTTATTGATCTAGGTTACACAATGTCAACACCTTTGAGAGCAACATAACCCAAAGGAGGAACCATGTTAGTTGTTTCTTTAGCTTGTTTCTCTCTTCAGAGGAATTTGTCGATGATTTTAACATTATGATCGACTGGCATGAATGATCACTTTTTCTTCCGATTTGAAAATTTTGGTTCCTTTTTCATGAGTTTCAGATGTATTTGTTTTCTTCCTCTACTCGTCAATTTCGCGTGATTCCTACTCCCATTTTGAAGCTCTAATAAGTCCATACAAGCCAAAATATGAAACTATGATCTTGTTTCCGCATATGATCTCCTTTTTTTTAACTTATATGTACATCATCCACTAGTCACTTGCAGATCTTTATAGATGTGTGTAAATTGGCTTACCGGAATCGGTATTACTCGAATTCATATAATTAATATCGGTCTTCCTTTCCAATATTTGAACCGGGCCAAACTCATATACCTACCCTTTACCTAAACAATTTCGGTTCTCGTTCGGCCACTTTTTTTCCATAGCCAAGTTTCCCAAAGGAACCAAAACGACCCGAACCCACTGTTCCAAGATTTTAACATTCAGTGAAGTTGGGCTTCGGTTGTGTATTGGGCCAAGATTTCATTAGTTTAGACCCAAATATTAAAACACAAAGAGAAGCAAAGCCCAAAAGTATGATGCCTTTTTGGGACTCTCCTTCACGCCGGCGATAAAGTGGCTGAGACGGAGAGGTTTTGTTTGTCTATTTGTCTCAGTTTCAAAGTAATCAATTTTGAGCTTGTTGTTGAAATATAGGAAGTAGTCGAGCTTCTCAAGAGTGGAACTGATTTGTTGTGACAGATTCATACATATCCTTTACAGTTTTACACGCTACATTTGCTTGGTAATTAGGTACCTATCAAATCCTTTAATCATTACATTGTCTCTTCCTTCCTTCATTCCTTGGAGTCTGTCTTCTTCCATATCTAATCATAGTTTCAGTTCTATCACTTACTGTCTGCTTTGTCAAAACCATACTTTTCTTTTTGATCTCTATGCTCATTGTCCATAGCTCAATAGGCTTTCTGTTCTAATTCAAAAATCCGATCAGATTAATCCCTGAGGGCATAATGTGATTAGGTTGAGTCCTAACAGTCCTTTGTTACGTTTGTTTTACTGTTTAGTTTCAATGTTGCTATGCAAAAATAAATTGAGAACTTTAGGAGAAAAAAATGAGTTTGCTTTGAGAAATTCTCTTTAGAACGGACTTGCAAAAGAGACATCCTCTACTTAACGATAATTTGGGCTTTTTGAATCTTTTAATATCAGGTTTTACTGTTTACTTTTCTGGTGAAGCCAAGAATAAAGTTATGGAACCAGTGAAAGAGGACCATCTTGAGGAGTCTCATAGTTATATGGGTTTAGCTCTGCACCAGGCAAACACTATTATTGGTTTCACAATACTGCAAAAGTTTGTTGCTTTTAGAGTTACAGTGGTTGATTTCCCTAGATTGCAGGCTAAACTTGCTCTGGAGGCTCTTGAAGTTCCCGTGGGGTCTCTAATTTTTACCCTTTGCTTCATCCCAATTTTGTTTTTCTTACCATTATCTATTTATGTCATATAAGAGATGATATGCTTCTTTTCAATTTTTTTTTGCTTCTGGTTTGTGTGCATCAGATGTGTCATTCTTGAGGACGGCAAGGTCATTGCTTCAGGGCGAAACCGAACAAATGAGACACGCAATGTAATCTTTCAAAAGTTTCACTATTTTTCTCAACCTTACAGAAAACAATATGATGATATAATAGAGTGTCTCGTCAAGTAAATTATGATTGTTACCTTGCTTATTTATCTATATATTAAGGCGTTTATTGCAAAATATGTTTGAAAAGGCCACAAGACATGCAGAGATGGAAGCACTTGATGAGCTCGTCGGACAATGGCGGAAAGATACTCTCACACCCTTACAAGTCGCTGAGAGATTCTCGAAATGCGTTCTTTATGTAACATGTGAACCATGCATAATGTGTGCATCGGCCTTATCGTTTCTCGGTATAAAGGAAGTGTATTATGGATGTGCAAATGATAAGTTTGGGGGATGTGGTTCCATCTTGTCCCTTCACTTAAGAGGCGGCAGTTCTCAGCCGTCAGATATCCTGTAGGTACTACGATCTCTACAGTCTTATAACAAAAAAAAAAGCTTTATTATTTGAATGATGTTGTGATCTCTGTTTCTTATAGTGAAGAAGCTCAAAGAGGAAAAGGGTACAAGTGCAGAGGAGGAATAATGGCAGAGGAAGCTGTCTCGCTTTTCAAATGTTTCTATGAGCAAGGCAATCCCAACGGTAACCACTCTCATCTTTTACCTGCAATCTTGTTCTTTGATGAAGCATCTTAAGAGTTTTTTTTATTTTTTATTATTGTTTCTTTGGTTTTAGCCCCAAAGCCACACCGCCCCGTAGTTCAAAGAGAGAAGACATGAGGCTAACATGTTGTGAAAATTGGCGTTCATAGGGCTCTGATTAGAAGCTTGCTCTACGTATGTTTTGGCTACTTTTGGCTCATGAAACATTATGAGCTATGTCTTTCAAATTCCAATACATATGCATTTCCCTACTAATTCGGAGATTTCAACTTTGAGATTGTGTTTTCTATACAAATAGTACCGTTTATGTTTAGAGAGTTGAGAATGTAACAAGATTGGATATTTATTTTCTTTTCGATTCAATCCAATTCTTTAACCAATGTGTCCATAATGAAAGCCTCTTAACAACCAATCCAAAAAGAGGATCTTGTCTTTATTTTAGGAGTGCTTCACTGTATACTTACTACCAGGAACAAAAAAAGATCACAACAACACAGGATTGATGCCAAACTAGTTTACAAAATGCAATTTATGCAAAATGATGAGACTAAATGCTAATCTTCACTTCCCTGGGTTTAACTGAAACGACCTACCGATAAAATTTAACAACCTCTCAAACCATGATCGTAGGTGTAGACACTTTAGGGTCTTCCTTGACTGTGTCACCTGAATGAAAAGAACATAAAAAAAAACCATTTAGTGAATGTACAAAACTAATCTTCAAAGTCAGACTTTTCATTCATGATCCAATAAATTTCAGTTCCTATTAGGTTCTAAAACATATGTATTCTCTAATACCATTTATCTTTTGTAAGTGGGACGGGTTTCTTAATCGACCCGTACCCAGTACAATCACAAATGTATCATTTATCAATCAGATATCCATAATCACACATAAACCAAGGATAGGATGACTAATCTCAAAACCAGCAATGCTCTCTTGTTATATCTAGCTCTTCGGCATGTTCTTAAAGCAGGTGAAATGAAAAGGGTTTCACTGGAACTTGTCTTTTGCTGTTCTACTCGTGAAAGATAGACACAACATGACTCGTGTTTGTATAGATATGTATGAAAACACACGCGAGAGAGAGAGGCTGAGAGTAGTTTACCAGATTGAGTGGTAGTGGTGACTTCGCCATAAATGCCCTTAAGCGTGGACAGAGGAACAACCGCAGAAGCAGAGGAGGTGGCTGCTTCAGCAAAGAGCTGCTGTTTCCACTCCCACATTGTGACTTTCATTTCTTTATTCGACTTGAGAAGCGACTCCTTCTGCTCCTGTAAGGCCTCGACATACTTTTGCTGCTTATCAGATCTCAATCCCAAAACAACAAACGATACTCCAAGACAAGTGTTTATCACAGCGTTGCTGTTCATCGCTTCCGATAAAAGCATCGCAATCTTGTTCGCCATTGTTCGTTCCTGTCTAGCTCCAAATTCATCAATTAGCAACCAAAACAGGCTCAACTGATGAAAAGTTTCAAGCTTCAGAGTGTAAGTGATGATGGTGATTTACACAATTGGTGATGATGATATACATTTGAGAGACGAAACTGAGATTCATCAAATCAATAAATCCAGAGGGAAAAAAAAAGAAAATTTAAACACATAAAAGCAAGAAAAATGAAGCTGGGAAGAAAATCGGAAGGTAAAACGAAGGAAAAATCACCTGAAATGAAGGTACGATGACGGCGATGCGACGGCGGCGACGATGTGTTGCGGCGGCGAGAAACAGAACAACCCAAACAGAGAAACTTTTTCAGAACTTTAGGATTAGTTTTGGGTATTTGACTGTAATTCTCATATATAGTAAGGGTTTTTTTGGGGCATCTGACCGTATAGTTAGGCTCCATGTTTTAAATTGGGCGCTACTAAACCGACGGTCTGGTCTTCGTCTGGTCTCCACTAGCACCGAAAATCGATGATTAATCAATGATTAGTTTTGAACTTTTATTTTAGAGAGGATTACTAAAAAAATCTTAAAAAAATCAGTAATTAGTAGAATAATCTTACAATCTCGAAATTAGCAGAACAACCTTGCTTTTTTAAATATCTTAATATTATTTTCAGGAAGTTTTGGTAACAAAAAACGCGTTTACGAGAATGTTATTATTATTAAATTTTCATGCCAGCAGTAAAAATAACGTGCTAATAAATAAGTTTATCATCGTTAATGGTAGAGATATTTTTGTTGGTAGACTTAAATGTTTGTGGGTAGATATATTATCTATTGATAGATTTGTGTAAATGTTGATAGATTTGTAAAATGTTGGTAGACTTTTTGTTGGTAGACTTATTTTCAACGTAAATGTATACTTGATTTTGTTGGTAGATATAATATTTTGTTGATAGATTCTTTTGTCACATAAGGTAAATTTATTTCGATTTGGTAGATATAATGATGGAGAGTTGACTTTAAAAGGAATTGGTTGACGAAATTGGTAGAATTGTTGACTTGTTGAAGTAGATTTGTTTTACTAAAAATAGACTTATTTATGCAGAATTTAAATATACTACAGGAGATTTATTTTCTTAGTGATAGATTTATTTGTGCTCATGGTAGATTTAAAAACCTAGAGTAGATTTATTATGGCTGAGTAGATTTGATTTCTTAGTGGTAGACTTAAAATTTCATTTTCGAACATGTGATGTATGATAGATCTATTAGACAATGTAATAGAGATATTTGATGGTGGTAGACTTATTTTTTAAAAAATAGATTTATTTGGTTATACAATAGATTTATTTTTCATTTTGGAACATCGAAGTTGACAGAGTTGTTTGAAAATTGGTAAACTTTTTGAAAATTGGTAAACTTTTTGAAAATTGGTAGACATATAAAATTTTGGTAGACTTATTTCCTTTCACGTGAAGGTAGACTTATTGATATAAAATGACTTTTTTGTCCAGCCGTTATTACCGAATTTTCTTGTTCCAACCACCGCATCAACTACATCTAGGGCAGTCGTCCTTTTACTTTTGGTTGATGATTTCCTTTGTTTACTTCCTTTATGATGTTATCTCTCATTCTTCTACCATGTCTTCTTCATTCATGGTGGATATTTTTTTTAGTTTGTGGAAAATAGGAATTCGCGAAAACTTGGTATCTGTTCTTGGTTGATAAGAGAAAAGGATGTCGAGTAGTAGTTGTTGATTTTCGACAACTCATTTATGAAAATTTGGGATTGGATCAGTGTCGTATGACCTTCAATTCAGTTATGATTTGCTATGAAATGGCGTGGTTGATTGTCTTACTTATTAAACTTCCATGTTTAATTCACGTTTGGTAGACTTGTGTTGTTATTTAATAGACTTATGTTATTCATGGTTTAAAGTCTACCGAACATACAATTTTAAGTGAAAAAAATCTACCATTCATATGTCACACTTTTTACTATAAAACAACTCTACCGTTTGTTAAATAAGTCTATCACCAATTTTAACATGCATCAATAATTACAAGAAGGGTTCTTCCATGCGACCAATCTACGGAAACAAAGAACTAAAAACCAGCAACAGCACAACAACAAAAAAAAAATGGTCCTATGAACGACGGTTTATAAATCCTTCGACGAAACCACCGAAAAACGATTGATTGCTGCAACACAAAAATAAAAGTAGGGTTAGACATCTTCTCTTTACTCTTGTGGTTGTCATCACCGACACAACCCACGACGGTGAAGAAACAACTTAATTCTTGAACATTAAAAACAAGTCTACCATTTAGTTATTTCTACTAATTCATCAAACATATCTATAATAACAAATCTACCAGATATAAGTAATAACTCTACCATACACAAATCTACCAGATATAAGTAATAACTCTACCATACACGACAAATAAATCTATTACAAAACATATGTTAGTCTACCACAAATAAATCTATCACCAGAAAACTCTTCGATGCACGTCAGTTCTGAAATCCTTCGACGAAACCACCGAAGAACGACTGATTGCTTCAACACAAAAAGAAAAGTAGGGTTAGACATCTTCTCTTTACTTTTCTTGGGTGGTTGTCGTCGCCGTCACAACCCACGACGGTGAGAAACGCGAACTTAAAAAAAAAACAGAACGAGGATTTCTGGAAAACGAACGACGATTCAAAGTACTATACATCACTTATTAGTCAAGAAAATAAGTTTTTTTTTTCATCAGTTGAATCCTTGTTATGGATGTTTTTTATGAAGAAAATGATAATGTTAAAAATTATTCTCTTTCCTTAGCTAGTTTAGAAGATACAAATTTCTGATTTATTCTAATAAAAAAGCTAATAAATACAATTTTGCTTTTATATATTTTAAACAGTAAATAAATATAAAATAAAATTTGAAACTAATTTTAAATCATAAAGATTGATATATTCAATATAAATTTTTGTCAATCTTATCTAAAATTGGTAAATATTAAGCTTTTGTCGAATAACATATTGTGTGTGATAACTTCTAAATGAATTTTTATTGACAATCAAGAAAGACAAAAAAATTTCTCCAAATCTTACTGTTTTAATGAGTACAAATTATATTTGATAGTATTTAATTATTCTTTAATAAACTATTAAATTAAGTTTTGGTATATATTAAATAGATTTTACAAATTTATTATTACCTTTAAATTATGTTTAAACTACAAAATATTGTTTTTATGTTGTAGTAAATACTATTCTAATTTTTTTTTATAATTTCAACTCGTATAAATATTGTTGAATTCTTCTAATTAATGCTTGTGGATTAGTATACTAAAAAGATAACTAAAAAAATAACAAAATAATCAATTACTATTTAATAAAAATAATATTGACACTAAAAAAATTAGTATATGTTTCTTCTCTAATGAAAGAAAATTAAAATTTTTCATCATCTTCTTATTCTTTTTCTATCAATTTTATAAGAAAACCAAAAAACAATGTCAAAATTTACTTTTCTTCCTTAATTGATTGTATATTATTTTATATCTAAGTAACTGTTATTTTGTTTAAGAAATATTTTTAATTTAATATTATTTTAATTTTAATGGAAATTTTATATATAATTGTTTTATTTTTATTTTTATATATACATATATATTTTATAAACAATAATATTATTTTGGAAACTGTCTTAATTTTGATTGTTGATGTGGACCAATAAAATTTCTCTTTTTAATAAATTGCCATTTTTAATCCTATGTGGATACCCTTAAATGCATTTAGCTTCAATTTTTATTATTAACTAGTGAACTTTCCCGCTCTTTGCGCTTACTGATATAATTTTCCATTTGGTTGCTTGGAAATATAATAATAGTTTGGATTCATTTGTTTTTTTTATTCTCTATTTTTGAGAATATTTGTTTGTTAGATTTTCTTACATTTTATTGTTTGAAAACATGATCGTGAAAATATTATAAAAGAGAGTAAATAAAAACATATTAGTATCCAAATAATTTAATTTAAATAGTTTTGAGATCTTTTAATCATTGTTCTATGTATTTTAAACGTAGCTTTTTTAAGGTACAATACTAACTTATTCGATTTTGATTACTGTTTTATGTATTTTAGACATCACAAATACCATCATTTTATTAGTTAGAGATGATTTTTTTTAAACGATATTCTATTAATTAGATATAAAAATTCTTTTTTTTTTACTTTTTTATTATATATTTTTTTAAAATTTTTTTTGAAAGAACGATCCATTAATTTTTAAATAGATTCTATTTTTTGTTTTTTTAAACATTTTTGTAGATTTTTTCTAAATTTCGGAAAGATAAAAAATGGTAAACACTAACCTATATATCATAATTATCGAGAACACTAACCTATATCTAATTTTTTTAAAAATGGTCGATGGGCTTTATACACCATTCCATAAGAGATATAAATTCTATTTTTTGTTAGTTTTTTCTAAATTTGGTTTTATATAATTTTAAAATCGGTTTGATTGACTATAGAATTAAGCATTAAACCATAATAATTTAGACTGATTTGTTTTAATTTTTTTTACACATCATCACTTAAGAACTAATAAAAAATGACACGTAATTGCAATTGAGACTAATCAGTCTTTTTTTAAGCCGAAACTCATTCTAGAGCTGACACGTAAGCAAAATGTTGTAAAATTCGCTGTGACCGCGACACATAAGCAAATCACTACAAAAATAATCAATTACAATTTAATAAAAATACTATTGACACCAAAAAAATCTAGTATATGTTTCTTCTCTAATGAAAGAAAATTTAAATTTTTCATCATCTTCTTATTCTTTATCTATCAGTTTTATAAGAAAACCAAAAAACAATGTTAAAATTTACTTTTATTCTTTAATTGATTGTATATTATTTTATATCTAAGTAATTGTTATTTTATTTAAGAAATATTTTTAATTTAATATTATTTTAATTTTTGTTGTTAATGGAAATTTTATATATAATTTTTATTCTTATATATATATATTATTAAAAATAATATTATTTTGGAAACTTTTTTAATATTGATTGTTGATGTGGACCAATAAAATTTCTCTTTTTAATCCTATGTGGATACCCTTAGATGAATTTAGCTTCAATTTTTATTAGTAACTAGTTAACTTTTCCGCTCATTGTGCAGACTGATATAATTTTCCATTTGGTTGTTTGGAAATCTAATAGTAGTTTGGATTAATTTGTTTTTTTATTCTCTATTGTTGAGTATATTTGTTTGTTAGATTTTCTCTTGCATTTTAATGTTTAAAAACATGATCGTGAAAATATTATAAAAGAGAGTAAATAAAACATAGAAGTATCCAAATAATTCAATT